TGCCGAGAGACTAATCCACTGAACTATTGAATTGGTAGTTGGAGCCATAAACTAAACCTTTAAAATCGAACACGTATAATATAAAGTAAACATAATTTATTTATAAATTTCATAATTAATTCAAAATTAATACATTGATTAAAAGTACATTATTTTATCTGATACTTAGTATCAATCAATTAAATAAAATTATTGAATAATCATCATTTAATAAAATTAACCAATTAGACGAGCTTATTACAAACAAAAGCAATAATTCAAATTTTTAAGCAAAGTATACAATTTTTAATAATGGAAGGACAATTTAATACATTTTTTAAGATAAATTAAATTATTTATTTACATATCAAAATTATTGCATATCAGAATGGTAAGATAAATATCATTTTATGAAAAAGTAAACAATTCATATAACTTTGAATAAGTAACGTTAAAACATTATTATTCGTTGGAGTAAAAATATTATAACACATTCAACTATATCAATAATATAATCGTTTCTAAAGAAATAACAATCATTAAAATAAATGGCAGATAAACGTGATAATAACAATATTCATTATGACCTTAATTTATTTAATATTTAATATTTAATGATTTAATATTAAATTTAAAAAATAATTTCATCAAATTAAATAAAATGTAAATGATGCTCGATATCACAAAATGTTTTATTGCAAAATGTAATAACAATCGATTGAACCTGCAATGTATTTCATAAATTCTTTTATTAAATGGATATTATTTGTAACAGTTAACTATATATATAGAACTTTAAAATAGAAGTTTAGGTATTTTCTTCTGTATAAAAATAAGGTCATTTTAAAGATACAAATTAATTAAATATATAAATAGTAGCTTTATTCATTTTATCGAATTTACTGAAAATCGATGAATATCAAATAAAACCATACATTAAAAGATATTTAAAAACATTAACCGTATTAAGTATTTTTATCTACAGATATCTCGAAGTATATCAAATGTTAAAAATATGGGAATTTATTTAAAAACAAATTTTTAATATACATATAATTGCCTATATTTTAAAATTCTAACCTTAAAGGTTAACATATATTCATTAATTTAAATAATAAATATAAAAAGAACTATTGTTCTATTTTATCTGGACCTAATGTTATTTGTAATATAATTTGAACTATCTTCATATACTTTAAATGAATATGTAAATAATTATATAAAAAATTTATTAGAGTTAAAACATCTATAAATTGCATCATATAAATATATCACATTACATATAACACAAAGTATTGTAAACTCTCTAAAATAGAGTACCGGGCGAGGAGGGCCAAACATCTAAAATTAGGTGTAATTTAAATAAGGCAAGTGGACAGAATAGTGCATGTATTCAATAATAAATAGCTTTGGTAGTTGTAGTTTATTGCGATAATTTTATTAGTTGTATTATAATGATTTTTAATTCATGTTTGAATGCCTTCGTTTCTTGAGTTTTGTATTGCTATTGCCACAGAGCGGTAATGTGCGTTTTATGTACAGGTAGAAGGGCGTAACCTTCTGGTCATCTATACGTAATGCACGCGGTGGTAGAGTTATACACGTAGAAGAACAGGGTGTGCTCTTGGTGGCACTTCATCTTAGTCTGCAGATATTGTCGCGTACGGCGCCTCGTAAGTCTATCTTGTAGGAACTAAACTGCCCCTTATAGCATTTACAGATTGTGTGCGCTTGGTCGCTCTACAGTTTTTTACCTTGTGAGGCATATTGTGTATTATTATCGTTATTAAGGAATCGAACTTTTACCTTGTGAGTTCTGCAGATTTTGTGCTCTTGATGGCAGCTAGTGATGTCTGCAGGTTGTGCCTCGTGCGGCAGCTTCTAGTTTATGTTTCGTGTTTTGCTGGCTATACCTCGTATTGTTTGCTGAATTTATGTTATGCTCTGTGAACCACTGTTTTCTTGTTCACTTTTACTTGTCTTGCACTGCGGCGAGTGTATGATTTGATTCGCACTTATTATGAGTTGGGTGTGACTAGCCTTTGCCTCTTAATTCTTGGACTTTACTATGCATGTCTACATCCTTGTTCTTTGGTGTTTCCTTGGAGAAGAAGCCTTGCCGGCTTGTTTTGTGAGAAGAAGCTATTGCGCCTACCGGCGTCTTTCTTAAAGGCATTCTCGGCCACCGCGTAGTCTTTACGAATTGCCTTCTTCTTGGCGTTGCCAATCAGAGCGCCTCTTTCTGGGCGTCTCTAATCGAATTGATTCTTTCATTATTGGCGGCTCCAATCAGAGCACTTCTTACTTGCATCCCACCATGAGAGGGACTTCTTTGGCACGTTCTCGCTTTACTATACGAGCCACATGTAGCTGGGTTTAACAACAGAATATGTGTACAGTGTTGCCTTTAGTATCCCTTTTTCGGATGTCAAACGACATGGTTTTTTTGCTTATATTTTTATGACTTGATTATGCCAGAAGTATAATGACTTGTCGTCGATGAATACTTTATGGCGTGATCGCGTCGAATTTCTCGTCCCATTAGTTTTATGACGTGTTTCGTTAGACACTTGATCGCATATTCTCGCCGGATGGGTTTGAGTTGTTTTTCTTTAGATAATCAAGGATTTGCTTTTTCCGGAACTTTTATCTCGAGTTTTCCAGATGTCTAATGAGCTGGGAGTATTCGTACATTCTCGAACATAAACATAGTTAATATTAATCAATTTTTCTAAAGAAAAAAGGAAAATACATTACCTACTTTTAAAAATAGTAAAAAATATAAAATATACTAATAAAGTATAAATAACAATTGTAAACCTTTCAAGAGGAACTTACAGAAGCTGCATTTCTTTGCTTATCAATATAATAATATTAATTTATGTGATATGAATATATTATACTGCTCTTACTTAAATCAATACAATGAATGAATAGTTTATTTTAAATCATAATAGCTCTCTATCTTTTACTATGAAAACTGAAGATATAACACATAATAGATCAAGTGAAATAATGGAATCGTGCGTTACGCAATAAAAACGTATTTTTCTCTGAAAAGAAATAGGAAATGTATATTTTAACTATATAATATGAAAGGATATATATAAAAATAAACTGATAAAGATAAAATGACAGGAAGAAAAATAGCAAAACATAATCAAATTGAGAAATAAGTTTATCAAAATAAGTACTAAATTAGAATCAAATTTGGTAGACGTTAAAAAATAACAAACTTGTCAAGTACGAATTAGTATTACTATCATAAACTATCATTTCTTTAAAAATAAACTGTTAATACAGAATTTTAATAACTATTATCAAGACTAAATAAAAATTTAGTCTTGATTTAGAAAAAATGAACTAATATATTCTGAAGCTACATTATTTAAATTAAATTATAAGATTAAAGCAAAAACATTATTTTTTAGCTAAATAATTAACATTTTTTATAAAAAAATGATTTGACCAAACAGATATTGTCAAATCTGAAAAAATTATTAAACGATAATAATCTGTAATATTATTAAATTTGAGATATGGTTCTTTGCGTTCGCAATGAAATGAATGTAAGAAATTATAATAATAATGAGAATTACGATTATAAATAATGCAATGACAACAATAATTACCACATCAATCAAAGTAAAAAATAAAAACAATACTGATTAAAAAATGATAAATATCGTTTTCTCAAGTTCATATAATATTATCTATTATTAAAAGTAATGTCTACATATGTCATTTTTTTTAAACTGAATACTAAAGTTAAAAGATGTATAATTTATAATTAATATAAAGATTTAAAATAAAATTTTAAAAAATTTGAAATTAAAAAATTAGTAATTATAAATCAGGCTAAGTTGAAAACAAGCTATAAGTAAAACAGGCTAGACTAAAAATACCAAAAAATGTTTGTCTAATTATCCAATTTAGACTATGAATAAACGAAAGTTAAGAATTACAGTAGAAAAAATTATTTTTCAGTAGAAAAAAATATATAGTTATAAATATATATATTAGCGTCGATATATTAACTTCCAAACCAAACATGAACGATGAATTTAAATATAAAATTATAAAGTAATGAATTTTAGTATTAAAAAGTATTAATAAAATAAATAAAAACCTATTCAAGCATATAACAAATAATAACTTTATTATTTATTGATTCAATAAATAAAAAATCTATTTTTAATTAGTAAAAAATATCTACTTAATGATATGTGTATATACTAAATAAAAATTAATATATATTACAGCTTATTATTATTTTAAATGCCAAACTAATTTTAAATTAGGTTAATTTAGAGCCGAGGTGGATATACGAGTAAGGTATAATTTCGATATTTTTAATTTTCTCATGTCTCTGTTTATCAATATTTTTTATGGCTGTAAAGTATTATAATGGATTAAAATAATATTGAAAGAATAAATTAGGCAAATAGGACAAGGATCATTTTTGCTTGATACAAAAATATTACAAAGGATTTTATACAAAAATAATACTGCTGTCGGTAAAGCTATAAAATAAATACCTGACAAGATATAAATAGCATAATACTTTTCAAACAAAATAAGTAGCATATAATTCTCACTCCAAAAGACTACTATTTTGACATTTATTGCTTTAAAATCAATATGAAAGCTAATAGAAATAATACAAAATATAAATGCCACTACGTTAATAAAACTATAGGAAAATTTTTTTATTTTATACTAAGTGAATGATTAGTACTATATTAAGTTTTGTATTTTATTACAATTGTTTCGAATTGTATGCAAAAAAATGTTTTTAAGAAAACATTAAAAAAGTATTATTTACATATATTAAAAATTATAATTTAATTTAACTTAAAATCGATTAAATATCAAATAAAAAGTTCGTTGGGTATATTGCGATTAATAGAAATACAAAATCTAAATCAGAAATTAATATTAGTTTAATTATATAAATTGTATTAATATAATATTTACAAGATGAGTAAAAATTAAATTCTAGTAGATTTTCAACGAAAACCAAATATCTATTTTGAGCTGTTTGTGTCCCGAAAAATTCTGTAACTTTAATATTTATTAAAAATTTAATAAAACTATTCTTAGCGATATTTTATTTATTGTTATAGACAGGGAAATGCTTGAGATTGTTGCAATATACAAATAAGTAGCTATTGATTGTAGATATTGACTAAATTCAAAATAATCGAATATTTTTTGTATAGTTGCATAATTTATATTGTTTATATTGATGCATCAACTAATAAAAGTTGTTTAAATGAATAAAGAACATATCTATATTATTCAATTTGATCTTCAGTAATGGGAAGAGTAATAGTGATTATATTTAACGGCTTTAATTGTCCTTTATAGCAAACTAGGATCTGAATTCTATTTGGTATCCTATTTTTTATTACCAGTGTTATAATTGCTGGTAAATGGAAGCCAACAGCTATAAAAGGTAATGTTATAACTCTTGGTTTAACTAAAATATTTGCATTTCTACAAACAAGAAAAAATTTGTTAGGTAAATATCTTTCTAATAAACAGGTAACATAAATCTTAATTTTGTACTGTGGCCCAAAACCAAGTATTGAACATTGTAATGCAAGTGGCAGTAATTGAAATTGTTGTTCCACTATCAATATATTTTGCACTTTTGAAGAAATATTTAGGCGTAATCTTAAGAAACCTTGCTGAAAAGTTCTATGAATGTGTGTAGTTTCAGATTTTTCTCTAATGGTTTGTTCAATGGAAAGAGTTGTTTTTTTTGGAATAGTAAATTTAATATTATTTAAAGAATTAAAATTATTATTGAAATATGGACATATGCGAAAGTCCGCCGTACGTTTCAGAATTTTGATATTGAGTCCACCACCGAATGTAATCATTGCCATTGTGTGTTCTTCCTGTCCAAGACGACCGTACTGAAAATCAAAGTAATTTTATTACAATCTACCTATCTTAAAGTATTTTATCTATTCTACAAAGATAAAAAGAACTCTTAGTAAAAATTATAAATAAAATACACTTAACTTTAAAATTATTGTTAAATACTTTAAAATATTTAAATAATATTTACAAAATATAAAGAATATAATATTTATATTAAAAAAGTCATAAAAGATACTATAAGCTTTCTTCTAGAGAAAATGAGCTCTGTTGCAGTCTCTTCTTTCCAGTAACTTGCATAAAAAGAATTTTGTTACATTATTTTCATTGATCACCATCCTTCTTGTGCTATAAGTCTGTTAAATTAATTCTATGACAGTGGAAAATGAACGTATGATTACCTTAAACTATAATATATCAATATCATGGCGGGTTAGTTTATTTTACTTATTTATTCAACTAGTTACTCACAAAGAAACTTTATAGCTATATTATCTGATGTTTTTTAAGATTAAACTGGAAGAGTACAATTGTTTATTAAGCAACTACAAAAACAACGTACTTGTTCATTAATTAAATTATACTTATCGTAATTTAAATATTTTCTAATTACATTTTTAAAAAATTAGGTCATTTCAAATTTTCAAACATTTAAGTCTTATTTAAAATATAATCAAGTAGCGATCGTGATACATGTTTTGATAGTGGTTATGAGATTGCATTGCTGAGGATTTCATATTCAAAACGCATAAGCACTTTAAACTTCAAATATACTTTAATAAAATTATATCTAACAGTAAAATTTTAAAAATTTTAAATCGATTTACCTCATTCTGAGAATATTTAGTAAACTAAATTTTCATATGATTCTTAGATAAATTATAAATGTTATTTTATAGTTATCGATACAAATTATTAAATAAACAGTAGATACAGACAATTTAATTACTTTATTATATTTTAAACATATAAAGTTTAAAAATTACACTTCTATTTGAATAATTAATCTAATATGTTGAATAAAAATTGAGTTGAATGAATTATTATCTTTTATTACTTATATAACTAACAAAATATAACTAACAGACACGATGAAAAAGATAATTAGCGTTTCAGAAAATAAAATCTAGATAAATATACTAAGTGTTCTTGTTATCATTTGGGGAAAAATTCCAACGGCCATCATTTCAAGGAAAATCCTCAACGGTAATCATTTCGCGAAAAAATTCCAACGGTTATAACTTCAGGAAAAACGTCCAAAGCTCGTTGGACATCCGGAAAAGCGATTACATCCTAACAATCAAGTAGACAATCATCTCCATTGTTTCTCGCACTACTGCTTCTAGCACTATGATGGGCCCTTTGTTGTTAGCTAACAAAACTACCGCGTGGTTATTTAGGACAAGCGCACCACGAGGCGCGGCTGTAGACTTTCAATTATTGTTGCAGTCATTGACACTACTTAGCCATGAACTAGTCGACCAAGACGTTACTCAGTCAAGAGTTATTCAGCCAAAACGAGTCACTCGAGCCCTGGCATTCAACAGCTTTATACTAAGCCAGAGTCTCACACATACAGTGCCTCGAGGACGAAACTGTTGCTGGCCTTTCTCATCCTTCCTCGCCAAGAGATAGCTTAGAGGAAACCAGCAATCAAATTACCACCATGTGGCACTACACGAAGAAGTATCAAGAAACTTACGACCTCTCACTTTTCAATATTGTACTTCACCACCAAGCGTACAGCATCAAGAGAATCCGGAGATTTACGACTTCGTACCTCTATATGTAGTGCACGCTGACACCACGTGGCAACAACCAAAAAACTGTAAGATCTCGGCGATTCTCTTCATCAAAGTAGAGTCATTATATCATAGTTGTAAAATAAACGAAATACCAAGCACGAAAAGGAGATGTGTTGAATAATGAATTGAAGCGCTACCCCTTCCACTTGCCCACACTTTTCTCCCACTAGGCAATTGGTGGACATTGTCTAATTCTAAACAGTTCCAAATATTTAAAATATTAAAAATGACAAAATATTAAAAAAAGAAAAAAAGATGATTACATTACATCCAAGTACAATAATTTAAAAAATTTGTATATAGATTTTATAATATACGTTTTATATAGTTAAATAAAAATAAATTTATTGATTTGTATATAAATATAAATGTATATATATTCATTAGGCAATTCTCAAGTTGGAAAAAAACACAAGATTTACTCTCGTCTATTTTAAATGTAAAACATGATTCAAATAGAATACTGAAGTAATGAATATCATGATACATACATAATACATATATAACAAATTGTTTATATCTACATTCGTTGGTAGATATCTTACTAAACATATTTTCGATATTTTTATTTACATATGATATTTTTCTGCTTATCAGATTAAAAAATTTGTATTTTTTTTATTTTTACGTGAGCAATATTCATTCTTAGTAAGATTGTGATCGGAATTGGACCATTTTTCAAGAACGGAAGCTCTCGAAAATGTATGAGCCTTCTAGCTCTCGAATTTTGTAAACAGTTGATTCTGAGAATTCTCGAATATTCTAAAGCTTTACCTTGGAGCGTCCTACAATGTTTATTTAGTCTCCGCATAGCAACGTCGGTTGGAATTCTCCTATTTTCTAAAGGTTTTTCACATAGCAACACCTATGCATTGTTGCCAGCTAAGTAAGCTACCGCGTGGATATTTAAAGAAAGTACATCACAATACGCGGCTTAGTTAGTTAGTCAGTAAGCCAGTTGGTCATGCTAGTCAGCCAGCAAGCTATTCGCTACACACTCTCAAGGCAAGGCCACCGAAGAAGGAAGATGCTATCCCCTTAAAATCAAGAAAGTGCCAGACTACAACCACAGTTAATTCAACCACGCCGAACATCCGGGATGGTGAATCATTCATCACAGAACAATTCAAGGCTACTGTTCCTCTGTTAGTATACTAAGTCTAAGGCATAAATCATTGCTAATCCTTACAAGATTAGCATGATGCTATTATTAATATATCACAAACATACTCACTAATAAGAGTGTGCATAATCGGTTGCTGATTCTTACAAAATTAACAACAACATGAAGGAATATCTTGTGTAGGTAAACTATTCAATACAGACTCAGTTCAAGCAACTGAATCGTGATTGAACATAGTATATACTCTTCCATTACAGAAATCCAACATAACAATAATGTAATTGTGAATAAACCAGAATAATAATTATTGTAAACACCTTCCGCTTGACTCCTTCCCAAGAATCCATTAGGGCGGGCAGCAAATCATAATAAGTTATTGAATTTGGCAGATCGAGCCATGAAGACTTATCATCAATTACTCTTGTGTGTGACTAGTCTTTTCTACTGCCGCCATAAATAATTCAAGACATAATTGATTACTCAACAAGTTCCATTAAACATCCAACACCATATCAAGAATAGTTATTCATACATCAAGCATACTTGATTCAAACACCATCTTCTCATGCTACCTCATAAGCATGATTAATTGTCTACACCTGCTGATATTTACAACATCAGCATAACCTCAACTTTATGATACAGAGTCATATCCATAGAATCTACGATAATCAAGAGTATAAGGACACACCCTCAGTACTACAATAAAATACTTCTTTCTCAACAGTCTTGCAGTATTATTATTATAATTATTAACAAATAATAAACATTGTTTTACTAAATACATGATAGTTTTCAGCCTTGTCACTTATTATTTCCTTTAAAGTTATCCCGCCGAGAGACTTATCCACTGAACTATTGAATTGGTAGTTCGAGCCATAAACTAAACCTTTAAAATCGAACACGTACAATATGATGCAAATACAGTGTTTGAACTTAATTATAATATATTAACAATTCTATTGCCTCTTTTAAATTTATATTAGTCAAACTAAGTCGAAATGATTAATTTACATGCTAAAAATTTCATTTTAATGCGAATCAAAGAATACAACATTTTTTGACAATGGGAGTAAGTGAACTTTTATATAAAGAGCGCAATTTATAACGTCGTTTGGAATTCTCTAAATTTCTTAAGACGTGTTTTTCTTAGAATTCTCGAAACTTCTAGAGTTTAAGTTTTGTGCCTCATGTAAGATTCCAGTATAGCAATACCGATACTTTGTTGCCAGCTAAATAAGCTACCGCGTGGATATTTAAGGGAAGCAAACTATGCCCATACGCTCATTGTAATTTAGTCAGTCAAACAGTTATCAATCATTACGCTATTCAATTACGCTATTCAGCCAGTGCTTTCTGCCATACAACAGTCACTTACGTACACTCGCGCAATGAAGACGTCTCAAGGATACACGTTTTAATCATCGAGTGTGCTACAAATTATAAACAGTCAAGGGTGCTCACTGCATTACGAGAAACTATACGACTACAAGAAGCATAGTCTAAAGGTATTTCTTTACAATCTTTCAGACCACACGTCCTATATACGAGTGTGCGCATATTACTGCTAATCCTTACAACATTAACAGAAGCCACTTTATATTGTATACACTTTCATAAGCTACACGCCATTTTTACTGTATACATTTTCAGGCCACACGTCCTATATAGGAGTGTGCACATATTCCTGCTAATCCTTACGACATCATCACCATCAAAGAGCAACCACGTTAATGTGACAAGACTAAGAAGTCTCTGTAAGAAGACTACACTCTTTTATGAGAGGTGAATACTGTTTATTACTAATGTAATTATTAATAAACTATGAATTAACGAAGTCTGCACATTCTAAATATTTTTACAACCCTTTCACTTGACTTCCACACAAGCATTTGCTAGGGCAGGCGGCAAATTATTAAAGCTATCGAAACATTGGCAGTTCGAGCCAAGAAATCATACCAGTTTCGAACAATATTTGTCATATTAAAAATTACTGAATTTAAAATAGAATGTTTATGTTAATTTGTTAGTCATCTGAAATAGATATAAATAATAATTATATATTTATAGTTGTAATAATTGAAATACAAAGATGTCTAATATGCAACACATGTTCCTACATAATTATGAAATTTATAAAGAAACGATGCCTGAACTATATACTTTGCTATAAATAGTACATGAAAATCGGTTGTTCGAAATTGCAAGAACCCTTCATTACACAACCCGAGTCATTACACATCTGGAAAATCCAGGTCCTTAGGCATCAGGAAATTGGCGTTACTCCTAAAAATAAAAATCTAACAGTACACAGTTGCATACACTATTGTCAAATCTAAACATATTGTCGTTTACATAGTTAAAGCAAGGACACTTCAATCAGGGCCCCCTCTTAACGGAGGACGCCGTAGAAGACAGTCTGCCTTAACAGAAATCATGGAAGAGGTGCCTCTCGTACAAAGGACGCCACCGAGAGCAGATACGTACTCTCCAATGGGTCGTCAAGGAATAAGGAAACACTCTCAGAAGAAGTCACTAGTGCGCTCAGCACGAAGCAATTCAGGTTCGTCTAACACGAAGCAGTCACAGGTCTTTCTCACGCGAAGACTTCGCAGGCGTTCCTCACCCGTCCACACCACAAGACAACTTGGAGGAAACCACAATCAAGTTACCACCATGTGGCACTACAGGAAGAAGTGATTTACGATTTACGACCTCCTACCTCTGCATGTAGTGCATGCTAACGCCATGTGGCAAACACCACGGCACTACAAGATCTCAACGATTCTCATCATCAACACGGAATCATTATAGTGTAGCTTGTAAAATAAATGCATTAGACAGCATGAAAACCAGATGTTTTTAATATTGAATTAATTCGCTTACCTTCCACCTACTCTTAATAGTAACCTGGTCGACTTAGTCTCACTTTCAATTAAAGAAAAGAGAATTCCTCCCTTAGTGAAAATTCCAACATGGATGATATTATTTAACATATTTTGTATTTTGAATATTATATATATTTTTATATATAGTTTTTAAATATTAAATATTAGATAAATAGCTTTTAACATAATTTGCTATAATATGTTTTATAATTAATAGTGATATAAATCTTTCAAAACGTTTCTTTTGTATAATACTTTCAATTACTGATGCAAAAAAAATTTCCATGTAATACTATTACTAACATAATAAAATTGTTGACCCTCGTATAATTTAATAAATATATTCTTTTTTTGTAATATTATTCTTATAACAGTACACATTTATATAAATACTAACAATTAAATATTTTTTAAGACGAAAATAATAAAGAAATACTAAAAATTAAATATATCCTATAACCAAAACAACAAATAAATATTAACAATTAAATACGAAATTGCACTTTACAATGTGTTTCAAATTACTAATTACAATATAATAATGATATTAATTAGTAAATTCTACTCGATCAAAACATTTTGATACGTGGTTTTGGTAATAAATAAATGATTAAATTATAAATATGTGTAATATTAAAGTAAGTATTATATTTATTCTTGCAATATTATTAGCAATTCTGATCATTATATTAATATTTTCACGTGTTAAATTTGTTTAATGAATTGTTTTATTTAATTGCTATCATTTTGCTTATTAAATAAGAGAAACCAATTAGGCCATTAGTTATTAAGGAAAGTTTGCTAAAAATACCATTTGAACTTCAATATTCATTATCAATTATCTTATATCAGAACGTTCAATAAAAAAGTAAATATAACAATAATTTTATAATATTTGATAATATTGTAATAGTATAAAATTCTATATATTCCATTAGTTTATAAATAGTTACAATATAATAAGATTATTTATATCAATATTTGTTAATATATAATGAGGTATAATTCTTTTTACTTCAAAGATGAGCATATTATTTTAAATACCTTTAAAGATGCTACTGACTCCAAAGCTTTAATGGTATCAATATGATGTCTCTGATCATAAATTCGAACTCCAAACCCTGCAATACTAATTGCTAATAAAAATAATCCATTTTGTGGCAAAGGTAAACTAACCATATCTAAAGGATTTCCGGGTAATTGAACTTTCCACAATTTTCTTCCCTGTAATTAATTTTTTAATAGAAATTTAATAAATTAATATATTGATCTGATATTTATATCATCATTATAATTTTTATATAAATATATTGTTTTACTGATCTTATCTAATATTAAACACAAAGAAAGATTATTTTATTATATAGAACTTAAAAAGCAAACTTTTCAAAATAAATTGAAAAAATATCTGTTGAATTAAAATGTAATAAAAAATAAAATTTTATTACTTGTTTGGAGAAAGCAAAAAATGAACTATTCATAGTCACAACAGCAACTCCTTGTGAAGATAATATAGTCATAGCAACCGCTGGAGCAGATAATTTTTCCCAAGTTTTAAGTGTTTTACCTCGTTCTATAACTCCTATTTGACCATCTCGGCCAGTTAAAGCTATTTGTCCATCGCCAGCCCAAAGTCCAGAACTAGTAACAGCAACTGGAGGCCACCCGATGATATATTTTTCAACAATCAAAAAACCTCTGTAATATACCCGTTATTATTAAATACTTTTTTCATTTCTTAAAATTATATTTTTATTTATTAAATAATATAATATAAGAATAATAATATAAAAACAATAAACAATAAATAATAATAATAATTTTTTAATTTATATAGTATTTCAATAGTACATTTCTTCAATATTGTTTTAATTATGGTTTAAAATTACAAATAACTATAAATAAAAAAATTAATATATATAATTAATTGAAATAAAGAAATTAATTCAAAATTTATTTTTATTCTGATAAAATAGAAGTGGTTAAATAATATAACGTACTAATTCAAAAAATAAAAATGTAGATAGAAATTAAAACGTCTTTCACAAAAATCTAATTAAATAGTTATAAAAAAGGTATTATATTAAACAAAAGTAAATTTTAATTATTTTATAATTGCATTATTGTTCACTTCATTCAAAAACAAATCCACTTATATAACTATTAAGAGATCTCTGAATAAATATTTTTTCTTTATTTAGGAATGCTTAAAATAATTACAGTGGGTCATATATCTGCACGATGTTAGATAAAATTACAGATTTGGTAAAACGATTTGCATTTATAATTGATTTTATTAAAAAATGTATTGTATTATTATTTATAATTTGAAAACTGAACAAATTATATAAATTTTTAACGAACTATTCTATTTTCTTTTAACCATTTCATATATTTTATGTGTTTATCTATTCGCTTGTACAATTAAAAATCTTACAATCTGAGTATTTTTTATTAATTTTATTTAATAACATAATTTTAATAGAAAGAATAGAAAACTTTTAATAGAAAGAAATTTATTCATATAAAACTTATATATTATACACTTAACTACTAATAAAAATTGAATGATCTTATATTTATCCACTTACAAATACACGAACTATACTGCACACATTTTAATTAAAATTTCTTTCTAAAATATTTTTTATATTTAATTTATAATATAATTTTTTGTCAGTATATTTTTTACAAATCGACAAAAAGTACAATATTATACAATTTGATATGATTATAGTAATAAATATTTTTATATTATTACATATTTTGTATTTTGAGTCTTGCACTGCTTCGACATATATTGATTTTATCAATTGTCAAGACGTTTATCAAGAAAACATCATCGTAAATCAATGATTTTAATAAATTAGTCACGAGACGAAATGGCAGAGACTTAATCTAAAATTTTTAAAAAGCATTGCTAAAAATTAGCTATTTCACATTATTTCTTGTGAAAATCCGTTTTTAAATATTTAGTAACAAAGAAGATTAGTAACAAAGAATCAGAATCCCTTGAATCATTAATTTTAAGTATTTTAGATTTGAATTTTAATGATCTCATTTTATCATAGATTATATATATTATAGACGGTTATCCTAGAACGTTTTAATAACTTAATAAATTAATCATAAAATTATTTCAATTATTTACATGCTATTTATTATATATATCATATATGGACATGATTAGATACATTATTTATTTTCTTGAAACGCAAAATGAATAATAGATTGATAAGCTCTAAAAATATTTATATATATATATATATGCTTTATAGAATTCTAAATCAAAATAAACTTAATATTTATTTTTGGTTGTATATACTTAAAAATACTAACCTATGATCAAGAATTAGAATTTCTCCACCTTCAGTACCAACAACTAAATAACTAAAAGCAATTTCAGTCCAAGCATCTTTCCGAATTGTACTCATACTGGTAATAACATTAACTTTAAAAAGTGATAATTTTCGATATTGTTCTACAAAATTTTGACGAATTTCTGTTTTAAGTGATAGAAATTTGAGAGTGCGAGAAGAGATAGATGCGGCACCTATTTCCTTTAATAATATCTTTAAATCATCCTTGAGTGTAAATATATTTAATTCAGCATCCATATTAGTTTTATACCATATCTGAATAACATAAATTTAAATATATTTACATAAATCTATGTCAAGAATTTTGTAACAATTAAATAATATAAAATAATTTTACTATCTGGTTTTCTAAAATATAACCCTATTGTATAATTATTACAATTCTACAAAATTATTTGTAATTATAATATTTTTATAATAAAAAAATTATTAATATATACAACAATGTGACTATAATTTACTTGTAAACTTAAAATTTTGTATCAATGGGTGTATTAAATTTAAAAATTTTTTGTCGTAAAAATATTATAGTTAAAAGAAAAAAAGGTCTGTGACGGTGCTTGAATTCAATACTAACAACTTATAATATAAAATTATGCACAAAAAAATATAATCGTCAAATTGTAGGAACTTGATTATAATTCATAATTAACTTATTACACCGGCTATCAGTTGTTATTCGGTAGTAAAGATGTTATTTACAATTACAGATTGTTGATTTGTGTATGAAACATGAATTTATATATATTTACATGTTTAGAAATTCCACATAAGACATTAAGATTTGGTAATAAGTACTTTCTCAGATTCTAAAACCTGTATTTGTTCGAATTTTTATTAATTGTATTTTAATTCTTGTAATAAATTTTTTTTTAAGATATTACTTTTATATTACTACATAAACTATATAAAATTATTATACAGATAAATTACTAGAATTATTACAGTACAAAATATATTAAAATATATTGTAAACCAAATAGCAAATTAAAATGAAAAAACAATTAAAATAATATACGTAAAAAATATAATATCTAACATTTAATTCTTTCGGATGAGCAGGTATTAATGGTAAACAAAATTTAAAATGTGGTTTTAAATTTTTAAATATTAATATACTGGAACAACTTCCAACAGCAAGTACTGCTGATTTGTTGTTATTGTTCTCAGTATGAAAGCCAATAATTGAACTTGGAATATCAACCATTGTATATTCTGCTATTTGATTTGCCCCATTTAAGATCCGTAACTGTAAAAAAATATTATTAATTTATATAGTTTTACAGCTAAAATAGTATGAAAAGGATTATTGCAATACAAATAGGTTTTATAGAACATAATATATGATTTAAAAAAAGGAAAAAAACTAATATCGTACTCTATTTAAATGATTAAAGCTACCTTTATATCCTTCAAAGTACTGCTTCCTAAATCTAGAATAATAAGTTTAGTATCACCATCTCCAGTTAAATCAAGCATGTCCATTCCATTTGGTACATTATGTATTCGCGCATTTGGTTCCCAAATTGCATCCAACCAACGTGATGAATTTAGTCCTCTTCCTGACATCGTCATAAAACACAATTAGTACATCTAGAAATAAAATTAAAAAAAAAATAAAAATTCATAAAGTTCTAAAAAAAATGTTCAAATAAATCAAATTCAATAAATCAAATATTAATTTTATGAATGGTTATTGAAGTGTATCAAATATTTAAACAAATTTATTTATGAAAATAGCACTTTTAAAAAAAAATTCGAAATTTTTAGGGTTCAAGTTAATAAAAAACTATTATAAGTATATATGAACTATTATAAAAAATAAAAAGTTAATAAATAGGTGACAAATAATAATCAATAATTTAAATATTAAAATGAATAAACAATAGTTATTATTACCGTACAAAATACAACTCGTCGTTCCGACTTGTTTTATCAAGGCCGGTTCGACGGATACAATTTGATGCCGTTGACAACTCAGAGACCACGGGTGTTGTGTGGTAGCGATGACAGGTGGAAGGGATATTATAATAATACAAAAAGATATGGCTGAAGTATTGTATTTATTCTGTTATTTATTAATGACAAGGTTGACTAGTATTACTATTATTGCTTGTAGAACTAAATTCTTGAATTGAAGTGATGCGTTGCGGAGAGAAACGTACAATAATCTATGCAGCTTGATTGTTGAATATGAATGGTGAGTTTCATTCGTCGACACTAGCGCCTTTTGAACGAGCACGTGTGTGGTTGAGGTTATGAATGTGGCTTTAGGATTGAAAGATATCGCAAAGTGGCGCGAAACTGGATTGTCGACACTTGCGCTGGGTTTTGCTTACTTTCGTAAGCTTCCGAACTTGAACTAAGGTGAGGGTTACTAAATGAGACGCCCCTAGCGGGCGCGAAACTTGACGACGCGTACTGGAATTTATTCCGCACTGTCGTTTTATGAGTAGCTTCCTCGTCCTTAGTGCTTGCCGATGTAATACTCTGAATCTCAATATATATATAATTATTGTAGTAGATACTACTTATAAAGACTAATCGTTGACTCGTCTTCGGACTCTGATAGGCGGATTGTCGTAGCTCCCTTGGAACAAGTAACTACGGTTTCTTGAACTGCGTTAGTGGACATACGGGTTTATGTCGTAGTTCTTCCGAGGCAGTAACTACTGTTCCAGCAACAGTGTTAATGGACAATCCGAAGAAGTGTAAGTCGTTCCCGATATAGCGCTTGTTCGGAAAATAATCCCACAATTTGACTAGTCAGCCAAACGTGCAATAATTAACGTAGAACAATAAAACCCACTAGATGTTATGTGGGGTTGCCGGGCAAGTGAAGGGTGAATGCACTGATTAATAATTAACACATGTCTTTATTATTTCTATTTATTTGAATTGATTTACAAAAGGGTGAATTTCTTGATAATCTTGTGGTGTTGAAATATATTTACTATGAATGAAGCAGGTTATAATCTATTGAATATTATCGCTAAGAGGTTATCATGATTGTAGTGCTCTGATCGAACACTGGAATGCTATTGTGTTTATCTTAATACGTGTGTAGTTGCCTTTAAATATCGGTCGTAAGAGAGCCGAGATGGAGGAGGTTATGCGAAGCTGTGCGCCATCTGTGGCTGGAACAACTTGCAGTTGGAGGGATTGAGAAGCCAATGTGGCGTTTATAGCTGGTCTTGTTCAAGAGTATGTCCGGGAAGCTTCCGTAGTTGGACTTTATCCGTCCGTCTTCTACATAAGCCGAGAAATCAAGAATGAGTACTAGCTGTAAGGACTTACTTGCAGTGTATCGTGATTTTCCAGTCTCTCTTCGATGGCTTGTTATTACGTTCCCTTGCAATGTTGCAACCCTTCAGTTCTTCCTTGTCTCCAAGTGAGACCACAAGTGGTCAGGTCCCACGCAATCCAGTCTTGATGAGATCAATTCAACTGTACACTAATTCACAATAGTGGAAAGAACTTATTATTAAAACTCAGCTAGCTAAACGACTCATCTCTCCGGTCCTCCTCCGTGAGAGTTGGTCGTGACTTATCCTTCACTGTAAGAAGTATTTGGAAAGAGTAAGTGAGGGTACATTACGTAGTCCCTTCTTAAAATGATTCACTGATCCCGCTCCACTTGGGATCCCTTCTTCCTTTATTAATTAACCATAATTGTATGTATCGCGAGCATGACGCGAGATGTGAATTTCAATTGGTTGTATCGCGGGCAAACGCGAAATATGAAATTGTGTGTATCGCGAGCATAGCGCGAATTACAAATTGTATGTATCGCGGGCAAGACGCGAGATATGAAATTGTGTGTATCGCGAGCAAGACGCGAGTTGTAAATTTCAATTAGTTGTATCGCGAGCAAAACGCGAGATATGAGATTTTATGAAAGCCTGACCACGTGATTGATTGTCTTGTTCTAAAGGGTATGTGAAGCACAGAATCGAAACTACTAATGCTAGTTTTCGTAAAACTATAGTTTTTCTTCTTCAGCTAATACTGTCAGTAAATAATCGGAATGATACTGACACTTCTGTGTCGAATGTGTGGCCTTGAGAATGCTGATGTGATTGACCATACCTTAAGACTCGCGTGGTGTGGTAGTGTTGTTTTTCGTTATGCTATCTACACTCTTTGGACTATTTCAATAAATTGCTTGTTGCTCCCTTTATCTGTGATTAGCGACTTCGTGATTGTTGCAATTTATCAGTAGATGATTCCTTTCGACAGTGAACACAAGTTGATTTAATTCGTTAGTTAACCGTTAATTTCATTGTGATTGCCCTTTACAGTGAGGTAAACACTATTACAGATTATTCCCTCTTTTTAGTTTAATTATGTTTTTATGATACAACTTATTATTAGTGTTGTAGAATTTTCTTGATCTAATGTAAAGATGCGATTTCTTCAATGGTTTCTTGTATAGGAGGTGTCACTACACAAGATGTTCTTGAGATCGTTCAATCATGTTGTTGTAAGAGTAATTTTAACTAATTCCTTGTTTGATGTTCCAGTTGTCGAATGAATAGATGAGCTCCTGTACACTCCCATGCATCATCGATATTAGATGCTCTTAGACTCTTAATAACATTATCCATGTTATTCACCACCTTGATGAGCTCGAGGATGGTTCTGGGTTTTGAGGTGGCGGTAGTAAGGAGTTTTTGCATGTTTAGGTGGGCAGCTTGCTTGGGACTGTCACACCCTTCTGCATTGTTTGCGACTATCCTATTGACTTGTCCTGCTGCAACAAGAGCATGTCCGTTGGACAGTCTTTCTCCGGCAGCACTACAAGTGATTCTTGGTCCACTCGTAATTGATGCTGCCATATCATCATTGCTTCCCCTTTCTTGTACATTTTATGTGAAATAATCATGAGTGATAAATATCGATGGCCAAGTTGATTCAATGTACTGATGTGCCGTATTGGACATTTTATGAATTTCATCAATGGCTTCATTTATGCATATTATTTCATCAATGTCTGCCTCTAAGTGAGATGTGGGAAGACTTTCTATCAATGTTTTGATAATTGCTATCCGATTAAACTGTCCTAATGCCTTGAACATATGTTCGTTGGATAGTCTTTCCTTGGTAGCACTACGAGTGACTCTTGCTCCACTCGCAATTGATGCTGCCATTCATCACTGCTTTCCCTTGCTTGTTTAGTGATGTATATAATTAAATCTTGGATAATATGGATGGTTAAGATGTTTTTCTATTACTTGATAAATCGTTCTCTTAAGTGTGTCAATACTAACCAATACACCAACCTTCACTAATCCGGCTCGAAGGACCAAATGTTCGGAAAATAATCCCACAATTTGACTAGTCAGCCAAACGTGCAATAATTAACGTAGAACAATAAAACCCACTAGATGTTATGTGGGGTTGCCGGGCAAGTAAAGGGTGAATGCACTGATTAATAATTAACACATGTCTTTATTATTTCTATTTATTTGAATTGATTTACAAAAGGGTGAATTACAGACGAACTTTATATTTCTTGATAATCTTGTGGTGTTGAAATATATTTACTATGAATGAAGCAGGTTATAATCTATTGAATATTATCGCTAAGAGGTTATCATGATTGTAGTGCTCTGATCGAACACTGGAATGCCATTGTGTTTATCTTAACACGTGTGTAGTTGCCTTTAAATATCGGTCGTAAGAGAGCCGAGATGGAGGTTATGCGAAGCTGTGCGCCATCTGTGGCTGGAACAACTTGCAGTTGGAGGGATTGAGAAGCCAATGTGGCGTTTATAGCTGGTCTTGTTCAAGAGTATGTCCGGGAAGCTTCCGTAGTTGGACTTTAATCCGTCCGTCTTCTACATAAGCCGAGAAATCAAGAATGAGTACTAGCTGTAAGGACTTACTTGCAGTGTATCGTGATTTTCCAGTCTCTCTTCGATGGCTTGTTATTACGTTCCCTTGCAATGTTGCAACCCTTCAGTTCTTCCTTGTCTCCAAGTGAGACCACAAGTGGTCAGGTCCCACGCAATCCAGTCTTGATGAGATCAATTCAACTGTACACTAATTCACAATAGTGGAAAGAACTTATTATTAAAACTCAGCTAGCTAAACGACTCATCTCTCCGGTCCTCCTCCGTGAGAGTTGGTCGTGACTTATCCTTCACTGTAAGAAGTATTTGGAAAGAGTAAGTGAGGGTACATTACGTAGTCCCTTCTTAAAATGATTCACTGATCCCGCTCCACTTGGGATCCCTTCTTCCTTTATTAATTAACCAATCAGTGGTTGATCTTGGGTCGCACAATAGATTATGCACGCCTTCATTTCCACTTCCTTCCGGGCTCAGTTCCGAATTTGCTAATTGGGAAAGTGTCGGAAGGTGGCGAGCCTTTTCCATTGGTCACCTCTCTTTGGTTGCCTCATCCCTCTCTGGGACTTGGCTAGAAGAAGGGTCCGCTTGGGCGTGGTCAATTTTCCAATACGATCGACCAGATGTGGCATAGCCAAGAACAATGCAAGCATTGTCTTAAAGGCCGAGTGCGCACGTATGGTCATTGCATGTGTAGTACGTATGGGTTTTCGGTTGCAGTAAATATTTGTACTCAATG